TTGTTAGAATTTTTCTATAAAAAGTACATGTGTATATTATAAAATTCACACATAGGAGAAAAATGGATGTTTAGTGAGATCTATACAGTTTGAACTTATTATTCATAGGGAAATGAAGGAATTTTCTGCAAAGTATAACTTCTGGCAGCAGACGTGCTCATCTAGGAACATTATAATACACTAGTATAAATTAGATGCTCGAAGTATAAGGACACCATGGAAGCACAATTTGTGGATATACTTGCAAAATGGGTAATAGACAGGCAAATGTGGGATGACAAGGATTATGGGGTAAGTTCAATCATATAATGTACGGTTATAGTGAATGCAGTCTGTATATAGATGTATACAACAGAAATAACGGGTGAATTGGTACACGCAGTGTATGACAATTCAGTTCATAATCTGTATTATTCAGGTTAATAGTGAGGTATGTGCACTATGGAATATAGTTGGGGTCATGTAGGAATAAATAATGGAGGACGAGTCAGGAGTGAGTACACGTTTATATGCATATATTATTTCAAACCAGACGAAGGTTTGGCACGATATGGAAAACATTTTCCAACAGATGACAGCACAAATAAAGACTACAAACGATCACAACACGGCCATATGTAGCGGATTTTTCACCAACGAGAGCGGGTATAATCCTTCACATAGGGCGATATGCCGGCAAATAGTAAACATTTATATGTTTATGAGTGGATTCCAGCAAGTTGGTAGGAAATGGGTAAAGAGGCAGACCCAAGGGAACACTGCGGAATTTGAGAAGTGGGTAAGGTGTATAATGGGAAATGTGGCGTTGGTGGAAATGTTTGGGCAAAACTGTGCACATGTCGAAATAGCACAAACTGTTTCAGCGTATATGAAAATGGAATGGAACCAGTTTGAATTTGAGCACAATAGTGAAATATGCCAGGAGCTGAACTATGATAAGTTAATAATAGGCACGAAGTATGTGGGGTTGACCATGGCAGACTGGATAAGAAGTTGGAGGAAGATAAACAGGAAAGGACAAGTGGGAAACAATAGGGAAATGAAAGAATGTCAAAAGAACGATAGTAAAAGGGAGCAAGGGGCAGAGAAGGACATAACGAACCGAGGACCCATTGTGAGAATGTTTCAGGAGGGGGAAGTACACAGAATTCATAAAGTAGTAGAGTATGGGCAGAATTTAGCGGACGATAAAAGGAGAGGACTCATAGAAAAGATGAAAGAAGGAGGGAATCCTGATATCAAGGGAATCATAGAGGAGATATACCAACAGTTGCATGTAGCGGGAACACCAGAGGCCGCCACACCGGCAGCAGTCCATCCGCCGGCAACCACAGCACCAGGGGAATCGACAGGTAAGACGAATGGCAGAAAGCAACAATACGCCGAATACGAACACGGCCTAATACGGATCGTACGGCCTGTACGACCGCACACGAATATGCATGCGCCCACCACAACAACACACACACGCGGGAAGAACAGCACGGCAAACGGCCACAACGCACGCACACGCGGCGGAACAGCACAGCACGACCCAGTCAACCGAGTTCACCTCACCGTACGCTTGCTGTCGCCTGACCCAGTTCACCGCGTACGCATTCCACCGAGTCCTACCTCGATCCACTGCGTCGACCCATGCATCGAGCCGGACGTCCACCCTGCCGCTACCTGACCGAACCGTCCCGGCCCCTTTCTTTCTGTACCACTTGTGTGTCCTTTTTTTTGTATCATCTTTCTACCATATTTCTCCTTTTTGTAGCGGGGACGGACAAGAACAAAAAGAAAGAAGACAGCAGTAACGGGCAGGTAGTAACGACGACACCAGAAGTACCACCAACTAAGGTACCAGAAGTACCAAAGGCGGTTGTTCCTGAGAAGAACACACCACAGGCAGGCAGCGGACCAGATAGCAAGGGTAGGAATGATGAGGGGTTACCGGACGCCTTACCACAACCCCCATCGGCCACAGGAGGAACAGGCGGGGAAGGACAAGGACCGGGTCAGGGACCAGCAGGACCCGTACCACAACCCCCACCTGCGGCACCACCAAAAGCTACCGGTGCAGAGGACACAGGTACCAAATCACCACCACCCCCAGAACCGGCACGTCCTGCTGCAGGAGAAGGGGAACCATCGCAGGATTCGAAAGAAACAGGTAAGTGCTCCAAGGGCATACAGACTTATACAGTCAAGAATGCAGGCGACGGTATCCATGGAGCCACATCCAGCACCGCTGTCTCATTTGCATCGGGTGCCGGAACTGATGATGACTGTGACCAGAAGTCCAAAGACACAGAAGCAGGTATTGTCCTGAGTGCATATCCACAACAAAAACCATGAGAAAACAAAACACACATACAACTTTTCCGGAGAGAGGGAGAGAGAACACGGAGAGCGAGAGAAACCAAACGTCGAATGAGAATGCAAGCGGCAGAGCGATCGGCCGAGCAACGGGTCGGCCGCTGGATGTAGACGTCGACAGACGTCGACAGACAGACGTCGAAGCAGACAGACATCGACACACACACGCACCCTGTCTGTGTGTTGTGTGGGAGAGAGAGTCTTTTCCCGCAGTGGCCACTTGCCCCTTCCCCCGTCAGCGGTCAACCGTGAAACGGCGCCACCAATCATCAGCGACGGCCCGTGGTGCCATCCAACTCCCAAAGCTTTAGTTTCATCATTTTCTCTTTTCATTTGGATGTCCCATTAGGAGCAGCGCATGCCGACAGTAAGTCCAAGAAGGACACACAGGCACCAGACGCAGGCGTCGCAACTAACCCCGATGGTCAGGCACATAATACATCAAGCTGCACTTCATCCGAATTCTCCTGTACGTCTGGGGCCCTGGAGAGCGTTTTACACACACTAAATGACACAGTAACCTCCGGTGGCACACAGAGTGCTTCGGGCGGACACAATGCAGGGAACGCACATGCCGGTAACGTAGACTGCACTGCTAATCCTTTGCATGATAGTTGTGACCTCAGATTAGAGGTACCGTTCGTACCTAGCGTAAAACTCTCGGATGGACACTTTGGACCCGGTGCCACACCCGCTATACGGGACTTAAACCACGATGGAGTCGGCAAGGAGGACGTGCCCATCGATATTCCTGACCTAACCGACACGGTCCTTACCGCCACTACTCCCGTGCTGTTTTTTCTCGCTTCCGTCACCGTTGCCATTCTTGGTTATTCCCTTTGGAAGGTAAGTATATACGACAATGACGGCATGCTGCATGTGCAGGATGTTTAT